TTACATTATATTTGCCGGCAAAAATAAATAAACATTACTAAATGTAAGAGCAAACAGCAAAAGACGTATTGGATCAGACATCTCCAAGTACCGCCATCTGAATTCATGATGAAGAACCGTGAAGAAACGCAAGACATTCTTCTTGTGCGATAAAGATGAATAACGTTTCGCCATGCATGTATTAAAAATAGATTAGTTCTGTTTAAGAAAAAAAAACGCAAAGAGCCGATTTTTTTAAATTTATAGGTCAATTCATGTGCTTCATAATTAAATAATCTCTAAAATATTTTGTTAGATAGATTGATGAAATGCGAAATAAAATTGATAGTTTATGTATAAATGTTTGTGATCTCATTTAGATAGTAAATAAAAGAGGCAGAAAGAACTGGGAACAGTTTAGATTTATTTGCTTCAGGGCATGCTGTAATATAGCCACGTTATTTTGAAGAAGAACGTCATCGCTCTCCATCGCATCACGTTCTCGAAACCGGCAAAATCGAAAATCGGTTCGCGATAAGCATTTCGGGCCGTATGATATCGTCGACAAAGTGATTTGAATTCCTTTACGCCTTTACGGATTTTATTCGCACGAGCTATGACACGCGCTTATCCCTATTTCTCCAGTTTTCTCATCTCGCGAGGAGAAGCAATCTTGGCAGTCACGTCGCCCGTTATTCGATCTCGACCAAACGAAGTCGAGGCACGGAGTGCCTCGAAACCTTTGTCGATCGACTTGGCTTGAACTAGCGGCCGAAACTGCCAAAATTGGACCACTCGCGAGCCATTATTGGCACGTCGAATGGGGGTAGTTCGGAGGTATCGAATCAATTGCGATATAGCAACCAGTGAAAGCAAGTTTATTCGCTTCCATTATTACAAATTAAGGTATTATTATTAATTTTTTATATCGATATTAAATTAATATAGTCGATATTGACGCACACAATATAAAATACATATTTAATTTATATTTACCCTTTAAAGAAACATCGAGAAAACGATTCTTTTATGCTTAGACTATACGTATATCAACTCAAACAAATATACACAAAATATACATGTATCGATCCAAACAAACATACATAAAATAGGTAATGAAAAGAAGATTTTGAAAAAAGATTTTTAATAAATAAAAAGTTTAAATAATTTTCGATGTTGTTGTGTGAATGAATTCTGGAAATTTCATAATTATATATATATAATATAGAGAATAAATTAATTATTCTCTTCGTTAAACTTATTCTGCGGTATTTGCTCTTTCATAATAATTCTCTTTTTCTCCGTTTGTATTATACATTTTTGGTCAGTTTGTTATAATGAATCCCAGTTTTTCTACATATTTTCTTATATATTTATTATTTTCTGTTCTTATATTTATTTTATACATATTTTTTTATATTCACTATCATAGTAATGTGATGGAAACAATGTGCCGTGCGAATCAGAATAGAAAAGATCGCTCTCGTATACCTTGAAGGAAGCATGATGTAACATTTATGTAATATGGTGAACAAAAAGAAATGAGTCACACGTTTCCTACCACCTACGAAAAGATATAACATTTACCTATATTATAAACAAGAAATGAAGTAAAAATAACCGTGACTCGCTTCGCACATCTCGTGATACTTTTGCGAGAAAAGATTTGAAATTAATTAACTCTTCATACACACGACTGTGTACGATGATAGGTCTATTGGATTCACTCAATTATAATTCTCTTTGTCAAAAATGTCAAACAATTTAATTTTCTTTATTCTTATTAAAATGTACTCAGTATCTATTTATTTTTATATACGAGTTCTTTCATTTTGGTTCCTTAAAATTAATTTATACTTTTTAATTAACATAAATGAGTTTTACAGACCCAATGCCAATAACTATTATTATAGATCAACTTTGGAGAGTTAAGATTAATAAATGAGTTTTATCAGAAATTTTGAAAGCAAAATTGTCTAGTAAGAGATCGAATTCACGTGTCTCCTTCAAAATAAATTCGCCGAGTTTCCTGTATTCCCGTTGATAATTCATGCACTCACCGCGAAAGAGTTAAATTACACCTTTTTCCAGAAAACTTTTGCCGCGGTTTTGTCTCTCCCGTCTCGTTTCTCCGAGAGAAGGTTTACTTTACGAGAAAGTTCGTTCGCACAAAGCGTATTTCAGCAAAAAGGAACGAGCGATCTTGCAAGCAAAAATGTTGTAATTATGAGATGGTCCTTTCAGCGTTTGCATTAATAGAAATTTATTCTCCTCTTTGGCACATGCGAGAAGTGAACAAGCCGAGTTTCGGTGGATACAAGTTTCATTGGATTGCTATTAATTTATCTATTCGCGGCGACTGCTGAAACGTTAATAAGCTCTAAAACTATTTTGTAAATCTAATTCTACATTTAAATAATCAATTACCGTTTCCTTTACGGTACGACGAGATTATCTTTGCGTTAATTCAAAAGCTAAATTAGATTTCGATAGACGCATTGACAAACAATTTTTTTCTTTGTTTGATATTCTCAATAGAAGCATGAAGGAACTTCGCCAAACAATTGTCAGATAATGCAGAAGTGTCACGGTGAACGGTTGCAGCATGGATGCCGTGCGAAAGCGGAACTCGCGCGTTATCCTCGAAAAGGTCTCTAAGCTGGCGTAGCACGGAACCGTTAATTAAAGGGAATAGAATTAATGTGCTTCTGTGCAGCGGCAGCTTAGGGTAGTACCCGAGGTCTCCGTTTAGGCAGAATCGAGACGCCGCACCATCTGTAGATCTCGCGGTTAGGTCCTCCCTCCTCCTCTCTATGCACGAGATATATACATTGCCCCGTAGTTTGCGACCTTATTTCTAATGACGGATATCCCGGCTCCGAAGACCGCAACGAGGAATTAAACGCGAGACGGAGGGAAGGAGGTAAAGGGGGAAGGGTTAATCTTCGATCCGTCAGAGATGTCTAGCCTACGTCGTTCTTGCAATATCGAATAAATTGTTTTCAACGCAGAAATGACTTTATCGGCTATCAGACTTACGCTCGTTAACGTGCCTGGGTGGTGCCTTCCGCCGGGAAACGAAAGCAATAATATTATTGCCCTCGATATTGGCCCTCAGGCACAAACAATGGTTGGTATACGAACGAGGAATTAGAATTAGAAGCTACTCGATGACTCGGCCGCTTACTCATCTACTGAATATTGAAACGCCATTATCATAAACGATCAGACGCATTCGATAATGACTTGCTCGTAGGAGTGTGAGTTGCGCCCCTACGGCCTGTAGGTTGGACAAAATCGATTACGGTCCTGGACATCAGTAAATATAACTATATATACTGATCACACTACTTGGCGAAATTTAGCTTTCCATTTTGTGGAGATAACAAAAACAAACAGTACATATTTTGTTATATAAAACGTCGCAAATGCAAATGTATGAATGCTAGATAAATATCACTTAGGAAAAAACTATAGTGTATGCAGTTTTGCAAGACAAGTTGTGTATAATTAGATGAATTAAAACATTACAACGCGCCATTCATAATATGTTGATTCAAAACTTTATCTTAAGCAACCAGTTTTTTTAACGTTATAATTTTACTAATTTTTGCTGCGTTGCAGTACAATTGATGCAAAATATTGGAATTTCGTATATCCACAGAGGCGCATTCACACAGAGAAAAACTTTGGTGTATAAAACAATAATTGTAAAGATGATGAACTAAATATATAAGTTTCATTTGAGATATTTTTGACGTTAAAATGATGTCAGTTTGTTTGCTGGGTAATTGAATAAACTATTTTGTATAGCTATTGCAACATAAAATAATTTCTTCAACTATATGTGTATATATATATATTAATTTCACATATAAAACTTGTATTGTTACTGTTATAATTGCTATCACTGTATCTTTTTCTCTGAGTGTAATGTCATCTTCTTTTCCCTATCATGATTGAATAACTATGTTTTACCAACATAATATGGATCGCGACGAAATATCTGAAGCACTGCGTATACTCATCAAACTGCAATCAACGTAAAAAAGGAGATAGATATATATATATATGAGACTGGCACCACACGAAATTTGACTAATTGACAATTGATTGCAATTAGTAAACTTGATAGAAAGTATATTTGCAGTTGTGTTATTAATAATTTATTTTGATGTTAAATTTTCTTTGATAAGCAGACTGTTTTTGATTATTAATTTTTTCCACAAGAGAAAACAATATGTTTTCCGTGAAAGGATTGCGCATATTTTTCTTATATGAATTGCAAGAACTAGGACACAGTGCAGCTGAGGCAGGTAGAAACATTATATCGGCCTTTGGAGGCCTCTGTTAGCAAAAGGACTATTCAGTGGTTTAAAAACTCGTTCTGGGAATTTGAACTCTTTTAAAATGAACCTCATAGGAAATACAAATCAATTTTAAACAAGGATTCATCCTTAAAAACGCCAAATTTTTTAATAAACATGGTGTACATAATTTAATATCACGTTAGGGAAAACACGATTAATAGTGCATCTTATTTAAATAAAATTAATTTTTTTAATATATCATATCTTAATCTGCAAAAGTGATAATTTTATATAATACATATAATACTGATACATTATTCTACACAATATCGTCTACTGATTGTTGTCTTTTATTAATACACCCTCTCTACAAAATACTTATTAAGATCTCAATTTATCAAGCACGACCAACTAGTCTATCATCTCCAGATGATCTATCATGTCGATAAATCACTTTATCATGAAGAAACTTTATTATATCTTTGAAGTTCCAAAGGATACCATCCGGTGGAGGGACCACGCGATCCGACCTGTCCGAACATCGTCATTTCTAGCAGAACGCACCACGTTCACCTGACACTTCCTCCCTCCAACGTTCCCTGTCGGGTTCATGAACCCTTCTCGTTTACTCACCGTCGCCTTCTTACTCTCTTCATACCAACCGGGAGGGAGAAGGACGGAGAGGGAGTTACAGGATGAATCAGAGAGGGACGGTGGAACTGTCAGTGCTGCATTGGTCCTCCTCGCGTAAAGACGGGCCACGGATCATCTGTGATTACCTCGTGTGCCGGAGTCCTTTCCCGCAACGGTGAGTGCATTCTCTCTCTCTCTCTCTCTCTCTCTCTCTCTCTCTCTCTCTCTCTCTTTCTTCCTTTCGCTTGTATCACATCGGCGCTGTTGCTCGTACATTTTGTTCGCTATCTAGTTCAGCGCTAAGTAGATGCCTTATCGTGTCGCATCAATAATGCAACAGACGCATACAAACGTAGACCGAAACGATGCTGTATGAGTTACATTTTGGAACGTCAAAAAGGCTGCCAAAACAATTCAATCCGATCTTTTTGATTTGATGCTTTGTATAGATTTATTCCACAAAACCATTGAACTTTCTTACGCTGAAGAATATTTTTTGAAATAGACTTCTCTTCTGAACGAAAATATCGAGGTATCTGGAAAAGGTTTTTCGATACCAGTACTTTTAGATCATATTTTTCCGTAAAATCATTTAATTAATCGTCCATATTGCTAGTATCATTGACATTTCTTTGAGAAATATCAATCAAATTTTGCATGCCACTTCAATGCTCATTAATTTTATCACGGAATACTGTTTAAAATTAGTTGTGGGACGTTCTGGTTTCCCAGCTTCCTTTAACAATATTTTATAACAATTTTCAGCATGGTTAACGCGTAACTAATAATAAAGTCATTATTTTATTCGTTCTTTTCCCAAAATTATAATTAATGAGATGATGTGAAAGTATCATTAAATTAAATTATTAAATTTAATTTAAGCAAATATTTATCATGAGCGCAACAAAACAATGGAGCGCTGTTTTGATAACCTGCCCTTTAATGCTCGCAAAACAATAGATACATGAATATACATTATTACAGGTTCACCATCATAATTGAGATAAAACGAATACCTTGCATTTTAAGATATAAATAGAGATTGAACATTTAAACTGTAATTAAAATATATTTATCACGCATATATATAATACAGATCGTTCCAGCAATATTGCAGCAACATTACAGCGTGTCAACAATATTACAGTAATATAGCAACGTTGCTGGAAGCTTTTATACTGAATGGGACGTTTTATAAAATGTTTCTTCTATGAATACAGAAAGTTCAGTTGATATATAGTTTCTACACACAGAAACAATGTTTTACAAAATGGAAATTCCCTCATGCCGTTACAATTTATTTCAATGAATGAAATCGCGCAGCTTGTCGCGCGCTTAAATTCCATTATAATTGCGCAATCTTGAAGGTGTCCGTGGATAAGCGACGCAAATAATTCTCGAGCTCCGTTTTACGCCAATCCCACCATGTTAGACCCACGGCGTAATTTTCAACGATTACTCGGAGAGAGAAAGAAATTGCGTCTGCCGTGTGTCTGGACTTTGCCGAGCCGAGATGAGAGATAATAGGAATGTGAGAGCGCGGAATGGCCAGACGCGTTCTTAAGATGCAGCCACCTAATTGCACCGTTACGCACAGCCCGTTAAATCATCGCAAGCACCACTTCTCCCCCATATCGTCCGTATCTCAAAGATGTTATTAAAAGCCGCTGTGGCATTAATTGCGGAGTAATTAACTCCGGAGAGCTATATCGAATATTGTTTTGTACCGTACAATGCCAATTTAGCGTTTAATCAATACAGAATTGTAATCTAGCGCTATTTAATTAATTGCGAATTTAACTAAATGAATTCTATGGCAATTAAGGTAACGTGTGTATTTTAATTGAAGTTCCGCACAAGTTTTGTACCACCACATAGAAATTTCTATATAAAGATCCGTGGCGGATTATTATCAACTAAAACCGCCGATGGTACCATTTTGGCTTTGCTAATTATTTTATTTTTATTTTTTTTTTTGTATTTTTTGTACTTAGATATACAGTACAAAATTGAAAATATAATATAAATAATTCTATAATGATATAAATAATACCAAAATAACTTTTTACTAACCGTAAACAAAGATAAAAATTGCTAAATTGGTACCTCCAGCATTTCTAGAGGGATACTATCGGCAGTTCTAGTGTTAAACAGATCTTAGAGAAAAAAAAATCCTCGTGTTACAAATTTACAGAAAGCGAAATTACGACCCGATAAATCCAGCTGACAAATTCGCGCGAATAATCGAATCCGCTGGAGGAGCCAATCGAATCGCAAGGCAATTGTATCACGCGCTGCACCGCGTTGTTATTCTAATGTGACGTATCAAATGCATTCAGCTGCATAAATGTCTGATGCCTTTTCTCCCTTGCCTTCAAATTGGGCACGTGCTCGCCATCTGCGGGTGCGAACCTAATTGAGCACGATCACCAACCATTTTGTACACGCACGCGCGAGTAATAACGTCAAAAACTCCGATGTGGTTCGTGCGTTATTAAGTTGCTGCAGAGATTCTTATCTACCGCCATGGGAGTGTCATACCTAATTGCCGGAAGAATAAAGTGTGCGCCTCTCGCACACTTCTTTTCAAGACGCCAATTAAAGTTGGGTCGCCGCGGCTCTACGTAGCATAATATTGTGTTTTCCATTTAGTGTTTGCCCTCGTTCGCTTCCATTGTCTTGGATTTATCAGCACAAGTATTCGTACACTTTTCACGAACTTTATCGTAAATGACCGCACGCGCGTGCAGTTTAATTATAGAAATGGAGCCGTGTACTTGGTGGTGACCATACGTATGGGAGTAGCCTATGGTAATCGTAGCGAAGAGTACGTTTTTAGTAAAACTATAAATAATCCATGCAATAAGAGCACGCAAAAGTCGAATACCTGGGTCACCGGACGTTTTCGTTCGCTTCGTGCGTATGCCGTCGAACTCGACAGATTTGCGAAGTTTACAAATTGAACCTAATCGAATGCATTTATTTCAATTCCAACGTTTCATCTAATGAAATAAATTCTTCAACTGTAAACATCATTTATGTATACCGATGAAGATAGAACAATTTACGATAAAAATAAATGAAATTGTAACAAGATAAAATAGATAAAATTTTTTGTTATTTTGTGTTGATGAAATTCGTAACAGGAATATATTTTTTATGATATTTTTTAAAAGAACTAACGAATTTTAAGTTCTATTACTTTTTGTTATTGCACATTAAGAGAAAAGCTTCTGGTATTTGTAACTATTACATGTTACCATTATTATGATTATTAGTGCTATAACAGAGAGTAATAATAGCTGTATACAGTTCTATCAACAAATATATGTAGTTGGCATAAAGAATGATTACAAATTATAATAATTGCATCTCCATTTTTATTGTAATACATTAATAATTATTATTCGTAGTCGTTTTCAGTGTCAACTATTTATACATATTTATTGATAGAACTATGCATATAGTTATTATTAGTTATATTATAACAATACCTAACCAAATTATAACAGTAACCTAATCATAATTACGACAACATGTAATTATAGTCACTAATACTGAAAACTTTGTTCTCAGTCTAGTTTTAAAACAAGTTTCCA